TTCGAAACCTTACCTATTATAGGGAAAGAGATAATGAAAAACCAACGAAACGCCGAAACAGCACGTACTTAGTAAACTAGCTTCTCTTCTCCCGGAGAGAGAAAAGGTAGAGTCTCCTGTTTGGCATAGTGTTCTAAGGCCAGCCAAATTAGTGGTACCAGTGCTGGGCGCAGCAGAGCCTGTGCTGCCAATTGCCAGCTTTGGGATGCCAGAGATTAGAGCAGGGTGGCTGCTACTAGTCTGGGATAATGATCGAAGAGGAGGGTGAACAGAGTAGGACTCAGCAATTGAGTTGGCGGCCGGCTGATATACTAGAGCCGATTCCGGCTCATAGACAGGTCGGTGAGTTGAAGATTCGGACGGGTCAAGCAAGGGTCGCTGTGATGACTCCTGTCCTGGTATTGGCAAGTTTGATTTCAAGTACAGGCTTAATGGAGTTGGTGATGCAAATTTTGACGTTGTACAAGTAGTCTGGTCATTAGAGTGACCATTCGAAATATGAGCATGAATAGGTATCCTAACTGCGGGGCATGGAATCGAAGGGAAAGGGGCTGTATGAGAAAAAAGGGAAAAATATGCCTGAAGATCAGTGGTTCTAACTTTGAGCACAGAGAAGGGAAGCACAGATTGGCAGTTCCGTAAAATCTCGCTAATAACCGAGCCTTTCTTTACATGAAGGTCAACTAATGACAATATCACTCTAATAAAAATAGTGGTCACCCTAGGTCGTTAAACAAGGTGAAAGTCAAGGGGAAAAATTATATATATATAAATACCATTGTTTGAGAGACTATATTTTCGTATGAGAATGGAAAATGAAGAGTTTCGCAGGTCAATCTAAACAGAAGAAGGTCGATTCTCGTTAATATGACGTTTCATTTGACGCAGCCGACAAAAAATCCTCCTTGGTCTCGTTGGAAAACGAACCAAGCTTTCGTCTATTTAATGATATAAAAAAGTAGAACTGGAATTCATTCTAGTAAAAGAATCAAGTTAGCACTAGGTCAAGAAGGCTGTCCGGCTCTAGCTTACCTCTTATATAAACTCATAAATGGAATAAAGAAAGTGAATATACATAGATGGATACAAAATGGTTTGAGTACGTCCATGTGCTAACATCTATACACAATGCCGGTTCTAAATCAGAATAATTAAAGAAGCATACCGTCAGGCTCGGGTCATCAAGGCTTATTGACCAAAAAGGAACTCTGACCGAGGCTGCGGAAGTCCATTAGAAACTCTGGTTAAGATACTAAGGTGTAAGTTCGTAAACCCGTCACAATCCGTCAGTCTAGAGTCATTAAGATTTAACCACCCAACCAAAGACAGGACTGGGATTGCGTAATCTTCTATGTCTGGCTTGGTTTGTGAGCTTAATCTACATTGTGGACGAGTGTGAATGAGCTTAGGAACATTATTACGTTGACAGATTAAGTCACTTTCTATTCTATGGCAACTCAACACCTTGACAAAATGCTAGTATATGCGAAGTAAAGTTGAGTTTCAAGGAATCTTTTGTTTCATAATTGTTGAACTTACTTTCATTTCGAGTGAAGGTGTCTGGAGAGGAGATTCGAAGGTCGATCCAACCAGAAAAAGACGGCGGATTCCTCTGGACAAGATGTCAATTGGCTTTACTGGACTATTCTTGTCGACGCTATTTTCAAGGCTATCTCCTTCGTGTCCGGTAAAAACGAGCTAGGCTGAATATTGGAAACGTTCAGTGAATTTCTATGAATTCGTTAGGTTAATAGATCAACAGAGTATTAGAGAGAAGGACCTTTAGGTGAGTTTCTGTGTGGAATCAATGCATAGTAATATCCTAGTTCAGAAGGCTGTTGAAGCATTAGCACTCAGTCTGGATGAACAACCAGATATTATTGAGACAACAAATCTGACAAAAA